GGGGGCACAAAACAATAGCAAAAGAAACATACAAATTTTCATTGAAAAAATAACGGACAACAGTAAAAACTAGAAGAATTGTAATTTTGTTTGGGGGTGATTTTTTCTGAGTGGAGGGTCCAGCAAGGGAGGGTCCCTTCTGCGGGTGCTGTAGGTGCTGTCCTCCCCAGGAACGGAGGCGTTGTGCTTTGACTTTCCCAGAATTCTCCTCTTCCCACTGTCTGAGGGCCTGGTGAAGAGGAGTGCGGGAGACCGACCAGCTCACGGTCCCTCTTGGAGCCCAGCAGAGCCCTGATACGCATTTGCCACCCTCCCTGGTGGCGTCCTGGTTGTGCGTGGGGCTGCCATCTGCAAGGTTGGCAGTTCTAAACCCCCTTGGGAGAAAAGACCGGGTTTTCTACTCCTGTAGGGAGTGACAGCCTTGGAAACCCACAGGGGCCAGTCCTACTGTGTCCTGTAGGGTCTCTGGTAGCCGTGGGGACTCACAGTCAGGGAGAGAGCCAGCCACGCCAGGTCAATCAGAACAGAGTGCAGGGAGGCGCCCGCGGCAGACGGGGCTCGTGCCCAACAAAATGAATTTCTGCACGTCTGTGGGCCCTCAGAGGGTTGCAGACAGGTTCTGTCAGGAATACGCGCTGCGTCTCCTGGGACTCAAACACAGAGGATGGCTGTCGGAACATCAGCGTGCCCAAAGGACCAGGTCACAGGCGACTGGCGGAGGTTTTATGGAGGGCATCTAAGCAGGGTGAGTCTTGGGATGACCAATAGGATGCAGAGAGCTAAGGCCGCGGACCAGGGACTCCTGGGGTCTGCTGGGCCACAAGGCAGAGAAGTCAACTAGAATGCCTGCAGCCGTTGTCCTGAGTTGGTTTACTGTATGCGAGAAAGGAGCACGCCCAGCACACGCACAATCAGACTTGCGTCCCAGCCCAGGCCGCAGCCATGGTGTCCACCGTCGCCTGGAGGGCCGTCCTCTCTTCCCTGCCTCTCCACTTGGCCAAGCGTGGTGCCCCTCTCCAGGGCCGGGCCTGCGGACAACCTGTCCAGCGCACGCACGTGGGAGGAAGTCTCGCCTGCTGCCTCCATGCCATCCGTCAAACGCAAGGTTTCAGGAAAACGGGGAATGTCTTCCCAACGGGACCCCGCCCCCGCTTGTAGGGCTAAGGTGTCAGGGCTGCCCTAGTCACCCACCCTGCAGGCTCATTTGAATTCCCCAAACTCAAAGAACATTGGGAAGTCCGGGGATTTGGAAGTCCGGGGATTTGAGCCCTCGGAGGACCCGAAAACCATCGTCTTGATGTGAAGGGAGGTACCCAGAATCCTTCAGGGAAGAGTCGGAGAGCGGGGATGGGAGGGGCTGGGGAGGGGGAAACTGCGCACAGACCCTCCTGCCTGGGAGAGAGGCGAAGAAACGGAAGCATCATATCGTTATTTTATTTTTTAAACGAGAAGTTTCTTTAAACACGAAGATGCTGGGCTTGAAGGGAAACCTCTAGGTATTCCTTCTCTCCGCCCCCCTTTCCTTCTTTCTCTTAGTCCTCTTTTATTGAAATAAATTAACCAACATCAAAGTTTTACCATTTCTAATTCAGGACGGATAACCTCCCGAGGAACAGTAGTGGGAGCGGTGATACCCTAAGGGAGGGTGGGGGGTGGTCGGGGACGGAGAAGGGGGAGAGTGGGGAACCCATCAAAAGGTGGGATATACAGTCCACCCCAAGGAGACGAATAACAGGTATGTGGGTGAAGGGAGACCACGGACAGTGTAAGACACGAAATAAAGATATTAATATGTAATGGATCAAGGATTCACAGGGCTGGAGGAGGGAGGGGAGAAAAGTTGGAGCTGATACCAGGGGCTCAAGCAGAAAGAAAATGTTTTGGAAATGAGGATGGCGACATATGTACAAATTTGCTTGATACAATTGTATGGAATGTTGTAAGATCTGTAAGAGCCCCCAATAAAATGATTTTTTTTAAAAAGAGAGATCTTACCACCCCCACCCCCAGCCACATAATCGCAGTGAAGATTCGGGTCCATACATGAGCACAGACTGTACATCCCCACGACCACGGAAGCCCGTGGGGAGCCCTGCCACGGAACACAGGGCCCGTGACCCCCTCCCCAGATGGTTTCAGACGTTGGAGCCCACCCTTGGCGGGACGGTGGGTGGGGGCCCTTCCTCGGGGAGTCACGTACCCCTGTTCAAAGACATCTCCTCCAGGCGGAGTTGACTGCATGGAGGTGCGCTGGGTTGTAGCCACAGACACACATGTTCCAAAACCTCCCGTGTTTCATGGGACCGACGAAAATCAGGCAGCTTCTCCAGTTGAACAAGGGGTCCCCACATTGTCCATGTTTCCGGTTGTGAGTGTGCTGTTCTTGCTAAGCAGAGAGCGCCAAGCAGCTTGACTGAAGGTACAGGTGGGGTGAGCCAGACGGAGGGAGGAGGTGTCTCCACAACGCCAGTGCTCCCCCGGACCGGCTCCACGTGATGCCACCAGAACCAACAAAGCCACAAACACTCCCTGCCACGAGGGGATGCCGGCTCACCACACCCGACAGGACACGGTGGAACTGCCCCGTGGGTTTCTGAGACTAGATCTCATGTCGTCGTTTCTAAACCAGCCTGGTGAGCTTTTCCACTCA